CGACTTAGAAAGTGATTATTGTTCTGGTTGGGACGGGAAAGCTCCATGACTTGTCGATCTGATAAGATGTTATGAGACTTAGCATGTTTCTTTTATTATCAATAGTGTACGAAGGTGTTGGGATGAGGTTTTGTTCGATACGGGGTTTAATGCTAGTACTTGGTTGGTTCGGAGTAGTTACTGTGATTAGGAATGGTGCTACGAGCGGGCAAGTTGTGTAATATGCTGGGTGATTATATCCATGATTATAGTTATAGCTCGATGCAGCTTGTTCAGACTCATACAGTGTGTAAATGTAAGATTCGTGTATTGAAAAGAAATTTTGGAGTTTGGGAATTGAATTCCAAGGTTTTTGGGTTAAGGTTAAATTTAGAATTTTCAGTTGTATTGTGTTGCCAAGCCTATGTGGAATAGTGTGACATGGGATCACCCTCGGGTATGTGCGTGGTAGATGGAATAGTGATGTGATGGCTTGGAAATAGCTCTTGGCACATTCGAGGACGAGCGTATGTTTAAGTGAGGGAGAATGTAACGACCCGGGCGGTTGTTTTGAGTATTACAACCTCGTTTCTCTATTTACTACTCAATTTATGCTTTACAGTCATTTTATGACTTACCGGGTTAATTGGTTCGGGTCTGGTGAGTTTTGGAATGAATTGAAACACTTAGTTCCAAGGCTTAAAGCTTAAGTTGGAAAAGTTGACCGGATATTGACTTATGTGTAAACGACCTCGGATTTGAATTATAATGATTCCAATAGCTATGTATAGTGATTTTGGACTTAGGAGCGTATCCAAAAAATTATTTGGAGGTCCGTAGTGGAATTAGGCTTGAAATGGCGAAAGTCGAATTTTTGGGAAGTTTGACCGGAGGGTTGACTTTTTGATATCGGGGTCGAAATCCAATCCTGAAAATTTTCATAGCTCTGTTATGTCGTTTATGACTTGTGTGCAAAATTTGAGGTCAATCGGACGTGATTTGATAGGTTCCGACATCGTTCGTAGAAATTGGAAGTTTCAAAGTTCATTAAGCTTGAATCTATGTGTGATTTGTATTTTTAGTGTTGTTGGATATGATTTGAAGGCGCGACTAAGTTCGTATGATATTTTAGGACTTGTTGGTATATTTGGTTGAGGTCCCGGGGGCCTCGGGTGAGTTTCGGATGGTTAACGGATCAAATTCGGACTTAGAAGAAAAAAAATATGAAGTTTTTGCCTTCTGGTGCAATCGCACTTGCGAAACTTGGCTCGCAGGTGCGACCACACAGAAGCGCAATGGACATCGCAGAAGCGGAGGTGGGCTAGTGACTGTAGAGCGCAGATGCGGACACGCACCTGCACATGCGGGGATCGCAAAAGCGATATTTTTCGCAGGAGCGGTTGCGCAGAAGTGGTTCAAATTTCCGCAGGTGCGAAACTCCTGGTCAGAATGTTAAAAACAGAGGAGTCCGAGATTTTGTCATTTTTGACATTTCCAAAAGCGGGTGAGGCGATTTTTGAGCGATAAATCACGAAAAAATTTGAGGTAAGTCCCTTGTGATCCTTTCTACTCCACAATATTGAATTATCATCGAATAATCCGACTAGATTACATGTTTTTGAGGTGTAAATTGGGGATTTGAAAATAAGATTTGAAGATTTGGAGGTCGAGTTGAGGTCGGATTTTGGTAAAATTAGTATGGTTAGACTCGTGGTTGAATGAGCTTTCGGATTTTGTAACTTTTATCGGGTTTCGATACGTGGACCCCACAGGCGATTTTTTAGGTACATTTTAGATTTTTATGAAAAAATAGTATTTTTTATGAAATTAATTTCAATAAATTTTATTGATTGAAACGAATTATTATGACTAGATTCGAGGCATTTGGAGGCCGATTTGCGAGGCAAAGATATTGCAGAGTAAAGAATTACACAGTTTGAGGTAAGTAACACTTCTAAACTTGATTCTGAGGGTATGAATCCCTGAATTGCATATTGTATGATTCATTGGGAGATGACGCACATGCTAGGTGACGGGCGTGTGAGCGTACATCGTAGGAATTGTGACTTAATTGATTCCATGGAGTAGCATAATTAAATAAATATCATTATCCGCACATCCTCCACGTGTTAGAGAAATTGAGCTGAGACTCATGTTAAAGATCATGATTTGGCTACGCGCTGATATATTTTGGGACCCACATGTGTCGTTTTGTTGTTGAATTATTTGTTTAAAAATTATAATATTGTACTCAGTCACATCTATCACTTGCATATCATATCTCAGTCTCTGTTGTCATTCATTGATACTTCATATCATCATGTCAGGTTGATTTTTCATGTCATTGAGAGCCCGAGAGACTGGGAATTCTGAATGATAGTTATGCTTATTTATTTATGCCTGGATCTGGCTATTATAGCGATTGGGCTGAAGGAGCCCTTCCGAAATCTGCACCTCCACAGTGAGTGTAGTTGATATATATATATCTGGGATGGATCTTCCATGGGCATGGATCTTGCCATAGATATATATATATTGAGGGATGGATCTTCCTTGGACATGGATCTTGCCCGAAGCATTTATATTGAGGGATGGATTTTCCCTGGACATGGATCTTGCCCGAAGCATTTATATTGAGGGATGGATTTTCCCTGGACATGGATCTTGCCCAAAGTATTTATATTGAGGGATGAATTTTTTCTGGACATGGATCTTGTCTGAATCATTGATATTTGGAGATGGATCCTCCCCTGGGCTGGATTGGCTTTATACAGTAATAAATCATTGACAGTCAGTTGATGGATATACATATATATATTTGGGATGGATTCTCCCTGGGCTGGATTGGCCATATACAGTACTGAGTGATTGATTATTTTAGATCGTGTGTACACAGAGTTTTCACTAAGGTGCATCACATACAGTATGTACATTGGCATGTAGATACAAAGATGTCATATTCTTCACATTGTTCAGATTTGATCTATTTTATTTGTAGTGAGAGTAACTGTTGAACTTGAAAGCATGCCTACATTTTTGTATTGTTATTTCTATACTGGACTGTACCTGCTGAGCTCGTCACTACTTTCAGCCCAAAGGTTAGTCTTGTTACTTATTGAGTTGGTTGTACTCATACTACACTCTGCACCTCGTGTGCAGATCCAGGTGCTCCCGGATACGGCGGTTGCTAGATTTCAAAATTTATTATGTGGAGATTATCAAGGTAGTTGCTTGGCGTCCGCAGACTTTGACTCCCTTCCTTTTAAGTTATTGTACTGTTCTATATTTTCAGACAGTAATTTTTATCAGTCAGATCTTGTATTCGTTTAGATGCTCATGTACTCAGTGACACCGGGTTTTGGGAGTGTTTATATATGTATTGTGAGTTTTCTTCCGCTGAATTTAGATATTATATTTTCAAACTTAAAAGATATGGTGGTTTATTGAGATTGTCGGCTTGCCTAGTATTGAGATAGGCGCCACGACATGTGAGATTCCGGGTCGTGACAATGGAAAGTTGTGACTTTTGGATTTCTAAACATTGAATTGAATTTTGAATAGAATGGGAAAATGAGAGAAAAAGATAAAAAATGAGAAAAAAGATAAAGGCAATCCTTGGTCTATAAAGCTTGCCACATCACCGGGCCAAGGTCCCTCAATTATATATATATATNGTTGGTGCACGACGACAAAAATAATACAATATATCCAAATATTGTATACATCATTAGACCATGGCATTTGATTTGCCAAAAATACATCATTATGGTATTCTTTTTCATATATATAGCGCAACCCAATTTTTATTTGTTACTTTCTTTTTTGAAATGAAAATATCTAACTAATCTAAATAATAAGAACTTCCCCCTTGATAGTGGTATATGTTGTATATGTAAATCCAAGATGTGAAAATATACGGAATTCCTTTATGAATCTATGAAAAGTATAAAAAAGAAAGAAAAACACAAAGAAAAGAATATGCTAGGCATAAATCGATATGCTGAAATTGAAATAAAAAATAAATAAGAAGAGGAGCCAATTAGATACAAATAATAAATCGTAATATAAATAAAAAATAAAGTTCAGGTTCGAATTCCATAGAATAGATAACATGGATGAGATTGTCTATAATGATAGACAAATGAAAGACTTTCTCAAGATTCTAATTCATCCACTTATTCACTCGATCTTAGTGAACAATTGAATTGGTTCAATTTTATGGTGCCAACGAATAAGAGAAGATCGAAGAGAATGAAACGCACGTAGTGTAACTTATAGCGGTTCCTTCTTTTCCTTGAAAACGTCCGAAATAACCTGCTACAAAACTATCGAACAAGGGTAAAAATACGATAAGTAGATATATAATTTCGAGTGTGATCAGAAAATGACAGAGCGGCATGTGATTGAGTGATAGATTGATATTTTTTTTTGATAACCGTGGTGTCCGGGCTAGCTTGCGCGTACCTCGACTAATTCCACGAGATACCTGCCACCTCTCACCAGCAACGGGTACCAGGTAACTCTATCCACCAAGGCTTTGATAGATGGGAAGAAATCACCTAGTATTTGCCTCCTTCATTGACCAATAGGCCACACCCTTATATGCAAGAGTGATAGATTGATATTATACAATACAATATAATATGAAACAATATATAACAACCATCCAAATAAGTTGTAAAGGACGACAAAAAGTAGATCACTCATAATTCATGAGCAAATTTGAATCAATATATCACATTAAACATTAAAAAAAAAGAACTAATCTGTATTAAAATTCCTAAATTACTAATTTTTGCATTGTAATTTCTGCACATAATCTATCATACATCAAAGGACTCCTAATTTTTGTAAAGAAATTCGTTTTCCGAATTGTTGAAAATTTCAATTGGGCTAATTAGAGTGTTTTTCTTGTCAACCGAAGTCTTTTTTTAAAAAACCATCAAATTTCCTCGTTCCAGTGGAGGGACCAATCACTTTCAGAAATCATGCATATCCATTTAATTAATCTGTTCTCGTCAAAATGGCCGGTTCTTAATCCTGCAATTGTCGGTCTGACTCAGATTTTTTTTTTGTGTGTTTACACTGCTTTTTCCCCCAATGGAAATGCCATTATTACCTGCTACATTTCCATCCCGTTGACGGAGAAAATGTTGCAGAAGCAATGCAACCATATAAAGACATGCCATTTTATTATCTGCTTGAAATTGCAACGACCCATTTTCAGATTTCAGTTTTTTTAATTGACAAATGTGGTCTTCACATCCAAAGAAACAAAACCATATTGCTTCTAAAGGTAAATGTTAAAATTCCCTATTTTTCGTTTTTTTTTTAAATTTATGTTGAAGTGATCATCTTATGTCGTCTAAAAGCTTCTTTATTTACTTAATTATAGGACCTCGCCTATTTGCTCTAATATCATATTGAAGTGTGTAATTATATTTTAATGTCTCATCTAAAAGCTTAATTTTAGAGATAGCACCTTATTTACTTAATTATAGGACTAAACTACGTGCTGTGATCGATCATTTCATCTAAAAGATTAAGCTATTAGATAAATCATACTAATTATGTTCTTTTCAGAATTAAAAGTTGTATTTCTATTTACGTCAGGTGATGATGATCTATATAGAGAATTATGGAAGGCCTTTGCTGGTCAATCCATGGATGTTCCTAGAGTTGGAGAACAAGTGTACTACTTTCCTGGACTTCACATTAAGCAGGTAAACTTTCTTGGTGTTTTTTCAAGTAATAGGTTCTTGGAAAAAAAAATTGGTTTTTGTGATTTTCCACAGGTTTGTTCACAATATTCAGAAAATGTTTTCTTTTTACCATTTTCATTTGTTGTTTTTGGGTAGCTGGAGCAATCATTGATTCGGGAACTGAACCAAGGAACACCAATTTTAGACCCATACTTAAAGATCCTTTGCCATGCTGTTCATGTTCGGTTTCTGGTACGCTTGATCATTTGCAGCATTTATTTTTCCTGAAAATTTATAGACTTGTTTCATCATTAAGCATTTTGGATTATGGTTGCCTAGGATGTAGAGAAAAGTCAATGATTGATTAATGAAAGTGTGTAATGGCTTTTTTGGCATATTTAGTATCGCAATTGCCCCCAGGTTTTTGTTCTGTTATATTCTGCAAAGAGGTGTAAAATTTGTTTGAAAATATGTCATTGCCTACACATGCGAAGAAAGTAAACGGATCTGAGTTAGACAATATTAATAGTTAGTTGAAGTTTTTTGGACATAATATACATTGGTTCAGTCTTGAACATAAATGATGTCTGCCATGTGAGTATTGGTTCACAATGGGCTCAAAATCTTAACTTTTGTATATAATATATACTAGTATAAATATTTCAGCTAGCTTCAGATTTTCTTCTACAGGTGTTTTTTGACTGGTCCATTAGCATTAGGAATGTGAATAGACCAAGTCTAGAATTGCATTTCTAGTGATAGACAGACATGTTTTCCTGTTTCGCTGATTTATGGGCAGCTTCCAATCTTGTATTTCTGTTTCGCTGTGAATATTGGAGGATCTTGATTATGCAAATCAGTGACTATGATATTTAGGAATAGACTTTCTGCTATTATATATACTGGGATTGTGTGTACATTGTCCTAGGTTGGAGTCCTCCCACCTCCTGACAGTTTCAGGTGAGGAGGCCTTAGGGTGGGGTATTAAACACTGATGTCTGCTCAGTTTGCAAGAAAGAAACATCAGGCTGTTATTGATCGATTTCTAATAGAAAAACAACACAGTTCCAACTTGGAGATAAGCCTTGGATGAGGATTTTCCGTCATATTTTTGGTAGAAGGCTGACTCACAGTACCAGCTAGTTTAGTTTTGATTCCTTATTTTTTATAGGAGATGTTCATCTGTTATTGATATGGGAATGAGTTAAACATCAGTTGGAGGGGTTTTTACAGTGTTTCCTTTAGCATGCATCATGGATTGATAAGGGAGCAAAGCGGTTCGTAAAGATTTATGTTCTTAATGTTCAGTTTTAGATGGAAGAAGATATGGGGCTTATTTATTTTGTGAAAATTGTTTTACTTTGTAGGTTGAGAACATCTCGGAAGAAATTTATGCAGAAATTAATTTGTTGCCAAAACAGGATGTAAGATAATTTTCAACTTTTCTTTTCTCTTTCTAACAAGAAGAAATCCCATTTTAGCAAGATCTCCATGCTTGTTATTTTAAACGGTATACCTTACTTGAAACTTAATATTCAGTCCATCGCTATATTCTGCAGCAAACGGAGCCAGTAAATCCTGATTTTTATCATTCTAAGATTCCAAGGCCCCAAATCCACTCATTCTGCAAGGTTTTAACTGCCTCGGATACAAAAAGTAACTGGGGTTTGTCTATTCCTCAAAAAGATGCTGTGAAATGCTTTCCTCCCCTGGTAGTGTTGCTTGTCTAATAGTTTTTAATTGAAGAATTTCCTATTTATATTCCTCTAGAATCTTAATTAGTACTTGGCATTAATTTCTTTAGACTGTTATCCTTGTTCGATCAGGATATGTCTCGAGATAAACCTATCCAGGAATTAGTAGTGAAAGACCTTTCTGGCAAAGAATGGCGCTTTAAGCATGTCTTTGGAGGTAATACCTTTTCCCAACAGTACCATAGTAGGTTTTTGGACAGGCCTTTCTCGGTTTTGTTCCAATGTGTGGAATATTATGGCAGGGCTAATCAGGCTCAGAAGTTGGATACTGTCTTATTTTTTCTAAGCTTATCAAGTTAAAAGTTGCAAGAGCATCCAAAATTTTAAGTTGTTAAAAAGGGAAAAACTTATTTGCTGCATTGTAACCATCAACTTTTGTGTGCCATTCTGCTTCGATGAAAGTGTATATAAGATGTTTTATTCTTCTTTTGACATTTATTACCCTCTAGTCCCATGAAAAATAATGGGGTTATAATATAGGGGTCATTGGTGTCAATTTATTTTTAATTTTTTTCAGAATAAATTCTATACTTACAAAGAGAATAAATAGTACCATAAACCACACATCTTGAAAAATGAAATATGAAAATATTTATTGAACTAATGGTCGAAGAAAAAGTTATTTGACTGCACAAAGTAATTAAGTGCTAATTTTGTCACAAACAATTGTTTGGGAGAATTAAATATTTGACTGGTTACGTGAAAGATTTTTCCCTTCTCTACTTTTAAGATAATGTCTTCTCTGCATAAAATTGAATAGGCCACCCTCGGAGGCATCTACTCACTAATGGCTGGAGTGCATTTGTTAATAGCAAAAAATTGGTTTCTGGAGATTTAGTCGTCTTCTTAAGGTATATTTGTTCCAGGTCTCTATGTTGTGCTGCATTTTCTATGTTAGTGTCTGTATACTGCCATGTGTATTTAAGTTAGTTTCATTTTCCCAGAAGGGAAGAGAATGGAGATGTACATGTTGGGTTTAGACATCTACTTTGTCAGAAGAGCTCAGTTGAAGCGCCAATAGCTTCCAGCTTAGATATCAAAGGAGTGCTTGCAGTTGCTTCTGATGCTCTTGCATCCCAGAGACCCTTTTCTGTCTACTGCAAACCCCAGTAAGTAGCTCAATCTATTGATGAACTAGAAATTACATTTGCAGTGTGATTTCTTCACTTGAGGAATTGGAACAGAATTTAAGAAAATCTAGTTAGTAGGCTCCGGGAACGTCTGCATAAGTGTTCTCCGCTATAAGAATGACGCAGTAAACCACCAAGTCACTGTGTTTAATCATCATGTGTAGATGATATGGCTTAAGACACCTTTACCTTTCTTTTTTGTGCTTAAACCTTACAGAACAAGTCAATTTATTATAAGCTTGAACAAATACCTGGAAGCTATTAACCTCGGGCTTGGAGTTAGCATGACATTTAAGATGCCATCTGAAATTGCAAATTCTCACGGGAGGTATGGAATATTCAGGATTTACTTAACCAAAAACCTTTCTTGACTGATCTTCCATAATTTTTAGTTTTGTGCTTTCCTAGTTTTACATGTATGGCGAATGAAAAGGACCAGATGCAAATAAATCAATATTCACAAAATGCAAATGTATTCCTTAACGAAGATGAGGAGCACATGGAAGATGCGGAGGCCATTGTCTACTCTCCTCCACGACATAGTACGACACCTTCGGAAATAGGGGAGAAGAGACATAGTGATCACACTATATACATTTCTCCTGTGGAAGGCAATGTAGAGTCAACTTATGAAGGTGGCACAAGAAAACATAATGAGGTATCAAATCCTGTGGAAATAGAAAGCATCCGAGGTACAGAGGAACATAAAGAGATCACGACAAGTTCTTGGAATTTCAACCCAATTCAAGAACAGGAACTGGAGGACGCAGAGATAATCAAGGATATCCTTCCAATAGTTTCACAGAATCTCCCTCTTGATTATACAGTCCCATCAAACACGGACAATGATCAATTCCTACCCATTATGCAAGGTACACCTTTTTATGTTGTGTCAAATGTTTGTTTTATGGCAGCATCCAAAGGTGTGGCCTAGTGGTCTCAGGTTCAATCCAGCGGTGACAAAACGTTAGGTGATTTCTTCCCATCTATCCAAGCTTTGGTGGATAGAGTTGTCTGGTACCTATTGCTGGTGGGAGGTAGAAGGTATCCGGTGGAATTAGTCGATGTGCGCAAGCTGGACACCACGGTTATCAAAAAAAGATATTTATTTTATGGCATAATCACGAGAATTTGGAACAATCTGAATGATTCAGCATGCTATTCGTTTGAACTTATGAACTAGGTGTATGCTTATTGTCACTTCCATGATGTTTCTTTCGAGTTTCATCAGTCGTTGACAAACTTTTCATTGTAGATTCTGAGGAGTGGCAAAACTTTCAAGGAACAGATTTTCCTCTGCATGTGCAACCTCCTTCTGGAAACTCCTCAAAATCTATGCATCCCACATCTATTTCAAGTCATATTCCTTGTGATGGACCTAGTCATGCTGATGAGAAAGTCCATTGGGAGGGTTATCATGTGGCTCAACGATATATCCCAATACTGAGCAGGATTATCTCGCAGTACCCTAGCACGCTTTCAAGTTTCAAGGCAACAAGTCCCATTTTCCAATCAATGTGCCTGGAGATTTTGGCCGAGTTAGTTTACTTGCTCGGACAGTTCACCACGGCGAACATGGACATCAAATATCTTAGTGAAGCTAAACGATACCTTCGGGACTTGAAACTGAGTGGTATCGAGATAGGCTGGCTTGAAAAACGTCTAGCAAAGGTTGAAGACATATTTACCATGAAAAGAATAAGCATACGAAGACAAGAACTTGTCCTTGGAATTGAAGACACAACGGCAACACTTAGGCTGATGAATGAAGAGCTTGGGTCATTAGAGAAGGAGCTTCAGAAACTGTCATCCAATATTAACCTAAAAACCTCTGCTGAAGATCGTCCCATATTGGAAGTCTGTTGTGAATTTTCTTGGTTTAATAATATGGCATTGTGCAAAACTATTGGAAAGCTCAAGTTTATTTCTTTGAGCTAAAGTTTTGTTTAGGGGGTGACTCCTTACTTTCCTAACAGTTTCATAATAATTTACTTATCTTTTTAGCACTGTGTGAAAGTAGGGCCTGCGATCTGTTTTTATTTCTGGCCGATACTGTTGCTCTTTAAATACGGCTACTACTTACTAATGTTTGTTGTTTTTTCTTTTCTTTTGAAACAAAAAACAAGTAGCATAATACATTTTTGTAACATTCTACCTCAACCTGTGGCCTAGAGGCCAATTTCGGAAGTGAAGGTGAATTTTGTAGGAATTGATTTTAAAATTCCAACGAATTGATAGTTATATAGATATATTTCCAGATTTATTAAGTAATTGGAATAGTCAACTCATACCTATTTATTTATTAAACACTGATAATTAGTATGGAATTAATTAATTTCAAGTCTAGGAAAAGAGTATTGCCAAACCCAAATCCTTTTCTGTTTGTTCTCGTTTCTATTATTTGTACTTTTCCAGTTCGCTTTAGCTCCTTTCCTACTTATAAATTCTTTTCCCTATCTTTTTGGGATGTAGTATGTATGTTCTTTTCGAATCTTTTCTTTATTTAAAAAAAAACATTAAATACGACCGATAACTTATATTAGAACTGATTAACGTGCAAATATGAATACTGAAAACGAAAAATCGTTTTCTTCTACTTTCATGACAAAGACAATAACTTAAGTTATATTGATATTTTTATTCCGTTAATTGGACAAATAAAAAGGTAAAGTAATTAGTTGACCATTCAGGAATCTAAAATGGTAAAGAAATTAATCGAATGTCATCGTCACTAATCCTAACCGAGATAGAATTACATTATACCACATGCATGACTCAAAGATTTGATACAGTGCTTATTATGCCGGTCTACTATTTATCTTGGTTAAGTCATACAAAATACACTTTTATGAAAAGAAAAAAAAGAGTTATCTTATTGCACCCTATCCTTCACTAGGACTTTACTGCTTAAGTGGTGAATACTTAAAGTTGCGACTTTGAGTCATCAAGGGAGCAAAGTGTAAAGCTCCTCGGGACAATTGGAGCTTGGAGGGAATTGTTTTAGGGCTCACTTTGGTCTTTAGCCAAAATGTGATTTTCTTAAAGTTAATATGTCAAAATATTCTCGAAGTTGGCCGACAATTTGTTTTTCTTTTCTTGTTTTTCAGATTAGTTAGTCAACATGAAGGTCTACGAGTGGCAATATGAAAGATAAAAAGATGATCTTTTTGTTTAAGGTGAGCAGTAAAATATTGAGACAGAAGTTTCTAAGTTATTAACACAAACCTTTGTAGAATTCCACACTGAATAGAAAAGGGCATACACCTTCTCTCTCCCTTCCTTTCCACTCGTACACACACACAGACACACGCCCTCAACCACACACGCACACACGGGCGGGCAGGCGGCATGTTGGGACTCAATAGGTGTTAATCGGGCGGGCTGGACACAAAAAAAAAACAGCCAGTCCGGTTATTGTTCCGGGCTGGTTAGTGGGTTGGGGTTCCGAGCTGGTTAGTGAGTTGGGGTTCCTGGCTAATAGTGGGCTGGGATTTTTCGGGTTTTTGTGGGGCTGTCGGGGTTCGGGCTTAACGGGTCCGAACCGGGCTGGGTTACTTATTATTATATTTTTTTTAGTATATTTTATTTTTCTTATTCAATGCTATTGATACTTAAGTATTTGCAAACTTTTAAGGCTTAGAATTAAGGTTTAGAATTAAACTTTAAACTTTTTAAAGTTTTAAAATTAAAATTTGAATTTTAAAATTTTAAAATTGAAATTTGAAAGTAAGTGGCTAAAAAAAAAATTTTAATAAGACCAATAGGCAGCATGTAAGGATCAAACTCCGAAGGCTTTCGTTTTATATTTTCATTGAATAATAAATAATATTTTAAATTAATTTGCAAGTTCTATTTTGATTTTTTTAATTTTTGAACTTGCAAATTAAAAGTTTACAACAATTATAAAAAATAAGAAAGAGTACATCGCTTGCACACTAGAATTTTCAAACCATTATATCTCCAATTTCTTGGTCCTTCGCTTCATCTACCTCTTCACGCCCTTGATTTCGCCGTTTTGATCTTATCCAATCTCTGAAGCACACTAGAATTTTTAAAGCGTTGCTTCCCAATAAATGACGGGTATCTCCTAGTTGCTGCCTTGCTTGGCTAAATGCGCTCTCTGATGCGACTGTTGAAATTGGCACATTTAGCACGTCTCGAGCCATGGCCGAAAGAACAGGAAATTAATTTGAGTTTCTCCTCCACCAACCCAGTGGTAGAAATTCATTTGTACGGGGCTCTAGTGACTTTTGCAAGTAGAATTGAAATTCATCAATGTTCCTGCTACTGGTTTGTTGATGCTCTCCTAGTGTAGACCAAATCAAATAATCTTCAACACCATCATTATCCTCCAAAGCACCGGATACAGATGTTGAAACTGAACTTGAAGAAATATTTGCATCTACAGCAGCAGAAGCATCAATAATGTTAGCATAATAATTATATAAAGTTTGTAAATGTTTGTGTAATCAGAAATACAAGTTTCAATATCAGGGGTTTCAGTTGGTCTAATATCCATATAAACATATAAAACAGTGATTAATTGGCGACAAGTGGCCATTTTGATAGAAGGGTTTAAAATAGCACCAATTAGGTAAATAAGAAGAATTGAGTAGAAATATTTTTTAAATTTATTTAGCATAGATTCAACAATAGAAGTATATCCTTCTTTCTTCTTCAAATTATGGAGTAAAAGAGAAATTTCAGCAATATGAACTAAATCATTTGTAATAGTAGGATAATAAGCTCCAGAAAACTCAAGTGTATTCACATAAAATTTTTGTAAAAATTTTACAACATCCTCAATGACATCCCAAGTTCTAGATGTTAACAAACTGTTAGGATCGGTACAATGAGAATTAGCAATTTCAGTTATAGATATTTTATATTTATAATAACATCTTAAGAATAAATAAGTATAATTCCACCTAGTAATTATTTCTTCAGGCATGAGTCTTGGTTTTAGTCCATATTGTACACATTTTTTCTTAAATGTATTTAATCTAGCACTTCTATTATTTTCTTGAATTACACCAATAGTTCTTCTAACTAAAGTGATCTCATCTCTAAATAATTCAAGGTCACTCTTCACAATTAAATTATAAATATAATATGCACACCTAACATGAAATATTTTATGAAGTGGTGGGTGTAGATATAATTTTAATATTGTAATAGCAGCATTGTTGTTAGAAGCATTATCAAATGACATACACAAAATTTTTTCTGCAAGATTGTAAAATATAGCAACTTCATGGATAGTATTACTTATAAATGCACCAGGATGATTTTGATCTTCATCATATTTAAAAGTAATAATACGTTTTTGCATATAAAAATTATTATTTATCCAATGGCATGTAACAGTCAAATAATCACTTTCATTTACAGCACGACCAATATCAGAAGTAAGAGAAACTCTACAAGAAAGACTGGCGAATAAATAACGGATATATGTTTGATATTGTCCAAAAAGCCTAAAGATATCAGCTCTACAAGTACTTATAGGAATACCTTTAAACAAAGGGTTATAAATTATTTGAATATAAGTAACAAGATATGGTGAAGCAGCAAAACTAAAAGGTAAACAACCTAAAACAATCACTTTAACTAATTCTTCCCGATCTTTCATTATATCGTATTTACCCATTAAACCGCCAGTACCCGGGTTAAGTTTTTGTTGCCCACCTTCCTCATCAGCACCCCATGCAATAAGGTGGTTATCTATCATGTGCCTACGAAGTTGACCCGTTCCCCCTGCCTAACCTCCGGTCTCATGTTTATAAACTTTCTTACAAATTTAACATCTTACATAATTTTTATCTTCTTCTAGTCTTTCAAAAAAATTCCAACACTTACTTCTTAATCTTCGATTCCTCTTAATAGGGAGGGGAGGCCTACCTGTATTACCACGACCTCCACCCTTAATAGTTTGAGTTGACTAGCATTACTAGGTGTAACTAGTGGTGTTTCAAAATTTATTAGGTGATTGAATATCATCTAAATTATCATCTATACCATAATTTTCTTGAAGTTGCTCATAATCTACATTTAAATTTTCAGGTGAACTTTCAGAAATATGTGTAAAGCTACTAGAAGAACCATCACCACCTCTTACTTAACTCTCCCCAAACAGTCACCACCCCCAGCATACCGGGTTGACCCGGGCTGTGATTGGGCTGGCCCAGTCCTATTAACAAGCTTAGTTGGGAGTGGGTGAACAAAGTCCCACATGAAAAATAGAAACGAAAAATAAGCTATTTATAAAGAGTTGAATACTTTTAATGGTGTGAGGCCTTTTGGGTAAAATCGTGCGGGCTTGACCCAAATCGGACAATATCACACCATATTAAGAGTATCATTGGACCGTTTTAGCCCAACAACTGGTTTTATTGGGCGATTCACTATCTTTACCCATAGCTTCAATGCCCGATTCACTACCTTTACCCATAGCTTCAAAGGCGTATACACTTCCTTGGGTTTTAGTGACCGTAAATACTCGGGTCATGTGGGTGGCACATAGTATCTCCAAATTAGCCCATAAACGATAATAGGTCATGTGAAACTTAGTTCAAGGGGAAAATTATTGGGAGTGTGTGAACAAAGTCCCACGTGGAAAGTAGAAAAGAAAAATAAGTTACTTATAAGGAGTTGGATACTCTTAATGGTGTGATGCCTTTTGGGAAAAACTGTGCGGGCTTGATCCCAAGCAGACAATATCATACCATGTTAAGAGTATCTTTGGGCCATTTTAGCCCACCTGACATTACGTTCATAGCGTGGAGGGAGAGGGACAAAAACATTTATTAGTTGGATGATTTTATATTGTAAAAATAGCACGGGCTAGTCAGTTTTCGGACTAGTAATTCAAAAATAGCCACCGTTTGCAAAGTCATTGAAAAATAGCCACTATTTTGCTGCAACACGGACCTGTCCAATATAATATACTGGAGATTGGTGCACCTGTATATGAACTTCCAGCATATTATGCTGGAACTCCAACACGCAAAAAGTTTCAGCATAATATACTGGAGATTGGAGCACCTGTGTATGAACTTCCAGCATATTATGCTGGACCGGTATATTATACTGGAACTCCGGTATATTATGCTGGAGTTCCAGTATATTATGCTGGAATATTTTTCAGATTTTGAACAGTATTTTCGTTCAGATATATCTTTACATGAAAAGTGGCTAAATTTCGATTACTTTTGAAGTTGTAACTATTTTTCAATCACCAATTATAAATCTGGCTATTTTTGAATTTACGCCGTTTATATTGTGACAACAAAAGATACAATATGGCTTCACTAAGTAATTTCATTAATTAGAGAGATCATTTAAGAATTTTATTTTCCCTCCGGACTTGGGCCCTCCTAATCTCTTGTATCTTTTCCTGTTTTATCTCGTGGTTAAGCAAATGATTTTACTTGGCTTATTTTATCTCAAATGACACCTCAACGACATCTATGTGGACAGAGAAGTCATGAAAAAACACTGAACAGTGCCTTTCCTTTCTGAAGTGGCAGTAATAAGTTCTTCCTCGATCCGTCGATCGTATGGATTCTTTTTTCGGCCGCGTGGTAAAATGATTAGATTAGCACCAAAAAAGAGTCAAAGATAGACATTAAATTAAACAATCTGACTTTGTGTGCTCTTCCGTGGGCGGTGTTCTCTTCCTTTTTGTGTGTGTGTGTTCCTGTGGGGCATCTTGCAACTACTGAGAATTGTTTTTTAGATGTCACAAACAGAAGCAGCCAAAACGCTGCAGCTTATAAATCTGCTATGGCAATTGAAAAATCCGAGCTTTCTACTAAACTTGTGCTGCAGAAGTCCAGGAACTTACACAAAGAGAAACCGGATTTCTTGATTTGATTGAACGCTATGGATGGTGGAATCGGATCATCACATCATCAGCAGCAAGACCATGTCTTAGTCGAAGGTAAAGTCCCATTTTTATCATTCCTTTTTTTTTTGTTCCTTTTAATTTGTAAACCATCTTTTTCTTGTCCATGATACTTTCTTCTTTGGGTCCCTTTAATTTTTTCTGTTTCCTTTTTGTTGTGTAGCTTTAGTTCAAACCGTTAATTGTATTTAACAATTCATTTAATATGTATAAATAATTCTCTTTAGGTGACTATATGTATAGAGAGCTATGGAAAGCATGTGCAGATCCCATGATGGATCTTCCTAAACTTGGGGAGAGAGTTTACTATTTCCCTATGACTCACATGGAGCTGGTAACTTCTCTTTTTAATGTCTTCCTATTATTATTTGCTTAAGTTTAAGATGTTATTCTTTTCGATGGCTGAATTATCTTTATTTCCTCCTTTAATTTCCTCGTCGTGTTTACTTTGAATATACAGTTGAAGGAATCAGCTGATCAGATTGTACCATCGTTCGACCTCCCTACAAATATCCTCTGTAGGGTCATTAACATTCAGCTCAGGGTATGTTGATCATTACCCATTCCTTTTTTTCCCTCAAGAGTAAATCTGCCTTGTGAGCCTATGTGGTATAATCATCTCTCAATTGTACAAATAGGAGTTGGTTTCCTATCTTTTATAGTAGCTGTCTGACACATCCCCCATGCCTACTTAAGCGATCAAAGTTCTTGCGTAAATGTATTGGAAAAAAAGTGGGATATATTTGCTGGTTTATTCATCTCGACTTTGAAAGAAGAGACTCTTTCATTGAACAACTAAAAAACTTATGATCTCGTGGTTTATGTTTTATGAAACCATGAATGACCTGTCCTTGATAGAAACTAACGGTCCACCAAACTGTATAGAGAATCAGGTTCTCTATAAGTTCCCACAGAACACACGCACACTGCAGTAGGTAAATGAGACAAAGAAGTTTTACGTGAAAAACTCCCTGCTCACGGGATTAAAAATCACGACCTACCCTTGTAGGATTTCAACTTCACTACTGAGCAAACTTTAGATTACAACCTATTGTAACCTAGGAATTAACATCTTAATCCCTCACTAACTTGTAACAACTCTATTACAAACCACTTTGTAATAACTCTATTACAAAGACTTTACAACTCGACTAACTCTAGCCAAGACACAAACACAAGGATTTATGATTTACAAAGATTTCCTACACAATGCTTCTAATAAAGCTAAGTAGGAATTACAAGCAAAGAACTTTAACAAATGTGCAACACAACTAAGGACATGTAATGACTCAATACATGAAACTGGTCCTTCGTTATGATGTTCTTTGTTCTTGATGCCCTTGAGAATCACTTGCAAGATTGGCACAGACTTGAGAGAAATTGCTTGATCGATTCTTGAATGTGCAAGTAATTTGTTTTACCTTCCTTGATATTAATAATGCATTTGTGACATCACTAGGATGATGTAAGAAATGTAGGTAAAAGATACTCCCCATAAAGTTGACTGCTGCACTGTTTCTGCATTGTAGCGTGTGCAGGCAGCAACTTTACAGCTGGGGCAGTTGACTTGTGCAGTATCCTCAGGAAACGGTAGCTATATGTTCCCTCTGTTGTTCCTTTGACTCTGAAGAGTTGAACCATATCCCAAGCTGGAACCTTTTGATCTTAAGGTCTTGAGAATGTGTAACATGTTCCTTATCTGGTTCTTGACAGTAAATTTGTTAGATCATCAAAACATAACAGGGATATACATATAGCCTATCAATTTTCCCCTTTTTGATAATGACAAATTTATAATTCAAGTTCCCCCTAAGAAACATCATTTCCTAAATTCCCCCTGAATCTGAATCTGTTACCCACCCAATCTGTTCCCCCTGAATTATTTTTCCCCCTTTTGGCATCATAAAAAGATTAGTAACAGGCTTATAGCAGAAAGAAGTCTAGCTCGAGTTAACTCATGCCACTTGTGTGCACACAACATGACTAAAAACATAGCATAAAGAGCAAGACATACACATCAAAAGGATGAAACTTATATTAATTTTTGGAAATTAAGTAGGGAGCAGTTCCATTGTTACCAACACATCCACAAAATAAAAACAACAAAAACAGAAGTACCAGTCATAAACATCATCATAACTAAAACAAAGGACAGACACTAGGATTTGATACTGGAAAGGGAACACGTTCTAGGGAGCACTGGAAGGGGAGGGCTTAGATGAAGAGGCAAGGTTTTCAAGAAGGATGTCCATTCGAGCATTAGCTGACATCTGCTCATTGAGCAGTTTCTCCTTCAAGTCCTTAACCTGTTTCCTGAGGTCGGCATTTTCTTTGGTCAGACGGGCAACCTTTGTGCTGTGAGAGCTGCGGGAACCAGGTGCCTCCTGAAGCTGACTTAGCTGACCCTCAAGAATTGCATTCCTTTCCTTCAGCTTCCTTATCTCATCAGTGGCACTGTTTTGGGCGTTGAACAACTGGGAGATAGTAGAAGTGCTGCCAACCCCTCCAACCTTATCAATGCACTCACATTCCTCGAGGGTGGTCTTGGAGAAGGATTACTTGCGAGTACCCACTTTAGCTTTTCCCAAAAGGACTTTGAAGAACTCAAAAACCTTAGTGAGGAAGAACCCGTAAGGCATCCCATGATTATCATCCTTGAACTCTGCCACCTTCTGCATGTGTTCTATCATGATGCTAGGCAGGTTGATAGTTGTGTATCCATCCAGTGCTTCCATGAGAACCAGGTCTGCTCGCTAGCATCACCCTTCCTTTTTACTGATGTGCGAGCACTCTTTCCTTTCTCAGCAGATTTCCCAGATACCCATTTCGCAGACGTTTTTTCAATTGATTCTTCTGTCACTTGTTCCCCAGATTCCTCAACTACCTTTTCACAAGATTTTTCATCCTCAACCTTGCTCAAGTCCCTTTCACTCACGTATGACTCCCTTCTGGACTTTGGAACAGTAAATTTCTTTGAGGACTTACGAACCAAGGAACCAAGTTCCTCTTCTACCTCATCATCAACATCAACGACTAGTACATGAGGCACTATCTTCTCATTTACAACCTTTCCATCTTTCACCAATCTCCTCTTCTTCTTTTCCTTTTTGCTTTTCCTTAAAACTGACTCAAATTCTTCCTTCTTCTGCAACCTAGTGATAGGTCTCTTAGAAGTTGACTCTTGGGGAGTTGCCTGACTGCTCCTAGCCCTGATGAAGCTCGCTAGAGCCACATTGTCATAGTCATCTTCACTCCCTTCGTTTTCCTCCTCAGACAGAGATCGCATCTCGGGAGGAACAATGGCCAATGGCTCAGCATAGAAATAAGGAGAGGGAGCGGGATCAGTACTGACATGGGGTTCTTTAGAAGAACATGGAGTTTCATCCCAAGTAGGAGCATAGTGCTCCTCTTGTGTGGAGGGATCAGGTCCCTCAGGAAGTTCCCAGTAGTACTGTCTGGTGCCAGATTTTTGACAGGCACCAGTTCCCTTCCCTCGACCTCTGTACCATTATCTTCCCTCTGAAACTCAGACACACCCTCATAACCTTCGATAAGACTTCCCTCAGCAGCGAATGAAAGCATATTTTCTATAGCTTCTTGTTCTTGTAACTCCAAAGTAACTTCAGAAGGCATAAGAGGATCATTACCTGTAGGATCCAAGCCTGGGGCTACCATTGTTGATTCATCACTGGTATGACCCACACCTTGTTCTTTAGCAGAACTTTCTTCCACTGGTAGACTAGAAATTTTTTTATTTTCTTCTCCATCCACTGTGTCTTCGTCAACCATCTTTTCCGGTGAGGCAGAAGTAGAGGTCACAACCACAAATTTCCCGGGAGTCGATGTTTTGCGACTCCGATGAGAACCAGAACTCGACTGGGTTGAAGAGGAAGCAGAGGGTGGTTGTGACTCTAGCTTAGGGTTTGGACTAGTCGGAACAGGGAGTGTGGGCTCTATCACTGGTGTTTCAACGGTTGAGGACACAGTGGAGACGATGCTTGGAACATTTTGTGTTTCCTGATTGTCAGACATGGTGGAGTGTAGTTAGTTGAAGAAGAGAGTTTGAAGAAGGGAAAAAGGGAATTTTGGATTCGTGATATGAACAGTTCTGAAAGTGACTGTGAATGGATTTATTTGAGAGGAGTTGGAGACCGGTTGGGTATCAATTTTGGGTAGTCGGGTCGCTTCATAAAGTGTGAGACGCTTTGATTCAAGAAGCAAAAAGAAACTGACAATATAATGACGTGGCACCGTTTCAGCCGTTTAAAAAATTGTGCATGAGAGTACAGAGGAACTACTAACCTGTGTTAAAGGAACCAGGTTCCCTGACAGAGTTTGAAAATGTAAGCCTCATCCTTTGACCAACGTGCAATGCATTAGCTACTTGTCTGCTCTGTAATCGTCATGCGTGTCTACTTGTAACGGTATAGGGGTGAGTTAGACTGCGCCAGAAAACACTTTTTAGCTATTTTACCTGTACATTTCTTTCGTAGCCAATCATGGAGGAACCAGGTCCCTAGCTAGATTTCATCAACCCTAGTGCCAGGCGATTTTTTTCAAAGTGCTCTCTGCTCAGTGCTTTGGTGAAGATATCTGCAATTTGATCTTCTGTGCTGCAAAACTTCAGGCAGGCGAGCCCTTTCTCAATATTGTTTCTGAGGAAGTGATGTCGCACATCAATATGCTTTGTTCTCTTATGTTGAACTGGATTTTTTTCCATGTTGAGAGCACAAGAGTTGTCACATAGTAAGGGCACACAATCAGAAAACACACCGAAATCTTCTAGTTGCTGCTTGATCCACAACAGTTGAGCACAACAAGAGGCAAGAAGAATTAGATTTCAGTCCCAACAGAAAAATAAAGTTTTTGTTTAAAAGGTAACCACTGCTAAGGAACCTGGTCCCTCCATTAAAAACGTATATTGCCTGCCTGGACAAGAAGAAGTCTAATTCGCCCTTTTCCTCATTACAAGGGACCCAAACTTGTTTGGGTTCCTAAGTCTAACCCTTGATTCTCTTGTGCAGGGAGCAGTGAAAGGAAGCAGCCAAAAATGGTACATGGATAGTGGCTGTTCTAAGCACATGACTGGAAGCATCAATGACTTCCTTTCACTCAAAGCCCTGCAAGGACAATGGAGTGTGTCCTTTGGCAATGGCAAAAAGGGATACATTCAAGGAGTAGGAAGAATAGGACTCTTGAAGACATGGCAAGAACAATGTTGATTGACAGTGGCATTGCGAAGAATTTCTGGGCAGAAGCAGTCAACATTGCGTGCTACTTGGTGAACAGGTGCAAGATCAGGTCCCTCCTGAACAAAACCCCGTATGAACTGCTGAACGAAAGGAAGCCCAAGCTAACACATTTGAGGACATTTGGCTGCAAATGTTTTGTTCTCAAAAATATCAAGGAAGCATTGAAGGATACTGACTGGATTACTGCTATGCAAGATGAACCTCATCAATTTGAGAGAAAGAATGTATGGCACCTAGTTCCCCGACCTGCTAACAGAACTGTCATAGGAACCAGGTGGGTATTTAGAAACAAACTTGATGAGTTTGGAAACACCTCAAGAAATTAGGGAAGGTTAGTAGTTCAAGGGTACAATCAAGAAGGAATTGACTATGCTGAAACTTTTGCTCCAGTTACTCGAACGGAGGTCATCGGAATCCTTATTGCCTTTGCATCTCATATGGAATTCAAATTGTTTCAAATGAATGTCAACAGTGCATTTCTGAATGGCTTTCTGAAAGAAGTTTTCGTCAAGCAACGGCCTAGTTTCGAGTGCCATGAGGATCTTGAGCACGTGTTTAAACTTGACAAGGCATTATATGGACTGAAGCAGGCTCCTCGTGCATGGAATGAAAGGCTGTCCAAGTTTCTTCTAGAAAATGGCTCTACAAGAGGGAAAATTGACAACACTCTATTTCTGAAGAAACGGGGGAGGAACCTACTCATAGTGCAAGTCTATGTTGATGACATTATTTTCGGAGCAACAAATGACTCTTTGTGTGAGGAATTTGCAAGACTCATGGGAAGTGAGTTTGAAATGAGTATGATGGGGGAATTGAATTTCTTCTTGGGTCTACAAGTCAAGCAAAGTCCTAGGGGCACAATGATAAGTTGGCAAAAGTACATCAAAGAGCTTCTAAAGAGATTTGAGATGGAGAGTTCAAAGATCATTGATACACCTATTGCCACTGCCACTCGCCTGTATATGGATGAACCTGGTTCTCCTGTAAAACGAGATTATGTATAGAGGAATTATTGGGTCACTTTTGTATCTCACAGCAAGTAGACCAGACATTGTTTTCAGTGTGGGGCTCTATGCCAGGTTTCAATCCAATCCAAAGGAGTCTCATCTGAAGGCTGCAAAGAGAATTCTGAGGTATCTCAAAGGAACGCAGGACCTGGTTCTCTACTATCCCTCAGGAGATAACTTTGACTTAATAGGGTATGTTGATGCTGACTATGCTGGTTATCTGGTGGATAGGAAAAGCACTTCTGGTATGGCACATTTTCTGAGTTCATGTCTAATCTCATGGGGCACAAGAAAACAAAACTCAATGACCCTTTCAATTGTTGAAATTGAGTATGTGGCAATAGGTGTATCCAGGCGAGTGGCAGTGGCAATAGGTGT